AGCAGTATTGTAAAAAAACGCGTGTGAACAATCTAGACATTGCTTTCATCCGTAGCCGCAATAAAGAACCCATATACGCAAACCGCTGCTGTTCTTGTGTTATATCTACCTTTAGCATTGCGTGTAACACACATGTATCTGCAACACTGATGACAATTCACAAAGCGCAGCACGGCCTGAGGGAGAAAGCAGAAAGAGGCGGCCTTGCTGTGCCAGCATAGTAGCAGCCACTGAACATACGTGAAATGGGATTCATCAACAATCTGACATCACGACATCGCTTCCCGGTCATCATCATAACATCATCACGTCATCCAATCATTCGTTATTCTTTACACTCGTAACGTCGTCGTCGCCATTTCAGTCATCATCATCATCATACAGAACATCATCCATACCATCATCTTGAAACATCCCATCATCATCATCAATCATATGACGAGGACGGAATTAGCTTCGTTTTGATTTAGCATAATTGGTAGGATTATGAGTCAGGCTTGTAAAAAACCCTGCAGAACAGTGCCTTGTTTCTGCAGGTTTTTTTTCACATGCTAACTCAGAACGCACAATCACAAAGCTCAGGTCTGTCAAAACATCTTCAGTGGACCAAGTCTTGCTGTTATTTAACCCGTACCAAGAAAATAATCCCACTCATGCAAGCACTGCAGCAGCAAGTCAGCTTGAGAATGCTTGTGTTGAAAGAGTAATTAGTAGAAACCGATTACCAAAACTAATACAGCTATAAGCTAGAATGCATTTATGTGCTTTAGCGGTGTTGTTTGTGTGAGTTTTTAGGCGTGGTGCCACATGAGGTGTGGTGTTCTACGACAATTTGGTCCCCCTCGCCATCGCGACTTAAAGCGGGGACACACCATGCGAATTTATTTCCGCAGGTCCAGCAAGCGATTATAAAATTCGCGAGCGAAATTCTGCTATGGTGTGTCCGCTCAAGCTGCGGCGTTTGATATGTTTGATAATCATGTCTTGATATTTTTCGCCTGCGCGGACGATGTGGCCGTCCTGGCGAATATAGATGGTACCCATCCCTTCTCACAACAGCTCGAATAGTAGGCCTATATCGAAGCTTGTGAGAAGAGACGGTACGCAATCTAGTCGCGAATACTGCCAGATTGCTTATAAATGCAGCCGAATCATTGATCGATTGCTAATCACATGGCCACATGACTTGTTCGAAGGCCATGATGGAGACCGTGGTGGACGCCAGTTAGATCGGCCTGTAGTGTGTAACGCTGCGGACGTCGCGAATAAATTCACATGGTCGTGTCCGCTCAATTTACCGCCATGCGGGTGCCGAATATTTTCGCAGCCGACTTTCGCTGCGGATATGATCGCCGCGGACGTCTGCCGAAAAATATTTGCATGGTGTTGCTCCCAGGCTTATCACCCACACGGACCAACACAACGCAAACCTTCCCACGCCAGCGAACCAACGCGTGATTTCCGCTCTACCCCATACCCCCTCCCCCCTTTCTCCCTCCGCTCCTTCTCTTCCTCCTCCTTTCCTTTCTTCCTACTCTCCGTCCCCCTTCTCCTCTTCTCCTCTCCTTCCCCCTCCCTGCCCCCCCTCTCCCCCTCCTTCTCTCTTCCCATCTCTCCTCCTTTTTCTCTCTCTCTCTTTCTCTTCTTTACCTTTCTTCTTCTCCTCCTATCTACCCTTCCCTCTTATTCTTACCTCTACTCTCCTTGCTCTCCTCTCTCCTCTCTTTCCTCCTTCTCCTCTTACTTCTCCTTTCCTCCCTCTCCCCTCTTCTCTCCTTGCTCCTCTTCCTCCTCCCCCCCTTCTCTCCCTCTCCTCTCCTCCCTCTTTTCTCGCCTTATTTTCCTTCCCCCCTTCTGCTCTTCCCCTTCTCTCTCTCTCTTCCTCTTCTCCTTCCTCCTCTCTACTTTCTTTTTTCCTTATCTCTCTTCTTCCTTTTTTTCTCTGCCCTCCTCCTTCCTTCCTCTCTCTTCTCTCTCTCCCCTCCTCTCCCCCTCTACCCCTCTCTCTCCCCTTCCTCCCCCTCTTCCCCTACCTCCCCTCCTCTCCTCTCTACCCTCTTCTCTCTTCTCCCCCCTTTCTACCAGTACGCATCCCTCCCCCCGCGCGCACAAACAACCCCCGCTTCGCAACGACCTCCCCTCCCGGCATGTGACCCGCCCCCAGCGTGCCCATCCCTCCCCCAGCGCAAGACCCTCCCCCCCACGCGTCCCTCCCCGCCGCACGACCCGCCCCAGCGGGGCATCCCTCCTCCCCCCAGAGTATGTGACCCTCCCCCTACATGTGATTCTCTCCATGCGCGTGACCCTCCCCCACACACGACCCTCCACCCGCTGACAAGTTACCTGCGAGTCTGAGCGAGGACATGCGCTGAAACTCTGGTTCCTCGAGCCACTTCTGCATGCGCCGGAACGTCTCGCGGCCCGACTTCAGCTTGCTCCAGGGTTTCGGGTTACGCAGCAGGTCGCTGAGCGTGCCCTGGCTGCGGCAGAGCACGCGCTGCGCGAATATCGCCTGCGGGATGCTGTAGCGCTTCAGCTCTGCGCTCACGCGCGCCGCAACCTCCTTCGTGTTCAACTCCTCGACGTCGTTGACGCCGCCGCCGCCGCCGCCGCCGCCGCCGCTGCTGTTCCGCGACGACGCGATCGACGAGTTCGGCGAGAGATGCTCGACGCGCATGATGGCGGTGTGCGTCGTCGTGACGATGGGTGGCGACGCGATCGGCTGCTGCGCGAGGGAGCCACCGTTGACGTTGATCATCGACGACGGCGACGCGGCGATGCGGTCGTCGGAGTGAGGCGACGCGAGGCCGCGCGTCAGGTCGCGACCCGAGCCGGACGACCCCGTCGTCGTCGTCGCCGGCCACGTCGCCTCGTAGCTCCCGGGCGACTTCGGCGAGCCGACGCCGTTCTGGCTGTAGCTGTACGGCGACCCGATCGTCGGCGTCTGTGCGTTGAATCCGTTACTGACGCCGCCGATGGTTCCCATCATCGTAGACATGGAGTGGTGGGAGCCGGGCGACGCCAGACCCGAGCCCATGCCCATGCTCAGCTTTTCGTACTGGTACGTGTTCATCGTCAGCGACGACAGTGCGCCGCTGTTGTACGTGTTCTGCATCAGCGCGAATCCACCGCCGGTGACGACGTTACCGCCGCCGCCGCCGCCGCCGTGGCAGTACTTGTCGCTGACCTGTGCGACGGTGCTGATCGGCGGCAGCGGCTGCAGCGGGGTCAGCGTCGCGTAGTTGCTGGAGCCGAAGCCGGGCGACATGCGTCCGTTCAGCGCTTGGTACTCGACCATCGTCGCGCGGAAGTCACTCGAGTCGAGCATGGCCGCGGGCAGCGTGACGGTGATCGTCGAGGAGTCGGCGGCCTCGCGAGCGGGCGACGGAAGGTCGCTCGAACTGATCAGCGGGTCGTTCTCCGGGATGCCGCCACCGCCGCCGCCGTCGTCGTCTAGCTTCGTGTCCACGGAGAGAGGCTCTACGGCGGCGTTCGGGTCGGGAGTCTCGATGTCGGCCACCTCGCGCACATCGTCCGCCTCGGCACTTGCATATGCGTGGATCACTTCCAATTTCACGGGCGTTTCCGTTTCGACTTTCACGCTCACGTACACGCGGCCCTGGTCGGCCAATTCGTCACCATTGTCAACGTCGGTATCATCGCCCGCCGCCGGTAAGTGTACAGCTACGTGACTCTGTTCAGCATCGGAGGAGATGCTACTCGAGTCTGGCAATTCCTCCATTGATTCCATCGTGTTTACGAATTACGGCGCCAATTATGCCACGTGAAAGTATACCTCCGCAATCGATGTGTCCTTAACCGGTTCCTTAGTGGTCGCCTGGCGATTTGGGGGTGTTACAAACGCCCAAAAATCGAAATTTTGCACCACATCAAAATCATCATCTTGACAGCTGTACCCAAACCGTGCGCAGTAGCGTCTGCGCAGCTCTAACTCGTCGTGCGCATGCTCAGTGGAGGATGGCGAAAAAATTCCTCCCTCTCCTGTTTCAGTCGCTCTGTCGTTCAGAAACAATAGCGTGGATGGAGAATAGTAGTATTGCGCTGTTTACGTGTAGTTGAGCTACAAAAACTTGTAGATGGTGATGAGAATTTTTTTTAAACGTAACATGAGCTGCTGTAGTTGTTGAAATGCGCGTTCTCAGAGCACGCCAGCAAAATAAACCTACGCAATATATTGCATTGAGGCACAAGAAAGTTGCCATGACTATATTATTACATTCTGTTAATTCTTGCCTTTAGTTCGGGATTAACTACAATTTTTTGCGTTTATAATGAATTCAAATCCATACAGTGCATGTTGTTTGTACAAACACGTATACACATATATGCGTGAATTTTTATTTGGGGGGTTGATTATAATAGGGGTAGAACTTGATATTATCAAGGGTGATAACAGACGAAGTACGCGCAGTACGGAGAAATTTATAGAGGGAAATTCTGGGGTTACCAGTTACTGTAATCTGTGTCCGCCAGGAAGACTCTGCTGTTATTTAGCTTGGTTGATATAAAGTAATATGTTTTGAGAAAATTCTGCTCAATAGATGGCGGGACAATGTCATATCTGATCCCGCGCTCCGCCCGTGCTGTCCTCGCCTCAAATTGAAAATTTTGTGCATTGGAAGGTGCTGCCAGCACTTGCTTGTGGTCATTTATGGTACTAATGAAATATAGGCCAGGTATAGACGAGCACTATGTCCTTATCTTACAGTAGGTTTCCGTCACGGATGCTTACGCAATGGCAATTAGTTAAAGATATCGAACCCATCTAAAGACGGCAAAGCGGTGTTAGTTTCATACACACGAAATAGTGCCAATTAAAATTACTCCTAATTATAAAACACCTTATTTATAAATAAAAAACCCTCTTTAATATCTATAAAAATATATTATGCGTTTATTAGGCATTTCCAATTCACACAAATACCTCCATGTAAACAACCGACAGTTACTCGCGCGAAGAACCAGATAAAACCAGTCGTTGGTGGCACTACTTTATATTTGCAGGGCATGGTGCAAGATTAGGTGTTGATCCCAGTTTTGTGTGCGTTTTTAATGTATCCGCAATACTGAAGGTCTTCCCTAATCTTGTGATACGTAACTTTGGTAAAATTAGTACTCTAGGCATAAACCACAAAGGCAGGTGGGAGCCCTCCGTTCAGGTAAGTTGCTAGTACTACTAGTCTCCGGCAATGTGTCCGGTTTCCAACTCGGCACTGTAGTCTGTAGTCGCGTACTGAGTACTGTCTGTACTTACTAGTACTACTAGTACTACTACTACTACTACTACTACTGCTACTACTACTAGTACTACTACTACTACTAGTAGTAGTACTACTACTACTACTACTAGTACTACTGCTACTGCTGCACTACTACTACTACTGCTACTACTACTACTACTACTACTACTAGTACTACTACTAGTACTACTACTACTACTACTACTACTAGTACTACTACTAGTACTACTACTACTAGTACTACTGCTACTACTACTACTTACTAGTACTAGTAGTACTGCATAACTAACTAAATTGCCGTAGTTGGTTGTGTTGTGACAGTGTTACTGTTAGTAATATTATACTAATTATGTTATAGTGGTACACTTGTAAGTTGTAGTAATAGTAATACTAGTGGTACTAGTAGTAGTACTACTCGTGTGTTACATCTTGTACACATCTCACTTTGTATTACTATTAGTATTAGTAATAGTATTGGTAATAAACTGCTTAACTTCTTGACTTCTGACAAACTTAATTTCCTGCAAAAGTGACACGTGCGTCTAAACAGAGGAATTGCTCCGACTTGTGATTCCCGAATGTGATATCCCTGGTTTTCACCGAATGTTGTCTAGAATTCTAAGGAATAGGGAGTGGTTCTGGTTGGATCGTTTTTCCAGTGCTACACTATGAAAGACTGCAACAATATATTGTAAATTGTACAAGTAAATTGTTCTTCGAACTAGGTTTTGCATGTAAAGGCAGGAGTTTATGCTACACATTATGCTAGCCGCACACTATGATTTTGCTCGGGCCGCAGTCGTAAGCCCTCGCACACCATACGCTCGGCAGCCGATCGATCGGGAGGCCCCCGCACACTGTACGCCTCAAAGTCGGCGCTAACCATGGCGTTCCAAGCGGATTTAGCGTGTACTAAGGGTTGGGAGTGTTTCCCCTAGCAGCAAGCAAATTCGAATGGTTTTGATTTTCGAATGGTTTCAATGCGTACAGTTGCCGCAGGGCTATAAAACATTTTATGCCAGGTTTCGTAACTGCACCTGTCCTCCAATGCTTCCACGAAAAATGCCTCACAAAACGCAAAATGAGCGGGCTTTTAACACTTATTTATCTACATGGACATCTCACCTATCTTTTTGAACACTTTCCACAACTTTACACCATGTATTTATGCATTTATTCCTCAAAGTGCTAGCACTACTTGCATTTCATTTTCAAATGTGTACACGCGTGACGTCACGCGAAATGTAGACAAAACACATGGGCAGCTATGATGCAGCCTATTGCATTACGCCCCTCCCCCAGTTTAAATGTTATGCCGTGGCATTTCATTTGTGTCTAGTAATCTTAGTGACCTTTGGCAGCGACTTTTTTGACATTAAATTTAAAATGTTGCCTTAGCAACGCTAGAAGTTAATATGTAGGGTTAGGTTCGAGAACCGTTGCGACGTTTATTTTTGCTAACAATTACTAGTAAAGTTGCAAATCCGTGGCTTTTGAAGTGACAATCAGTTGGTCAACAAATATTATCATTTTAAGCTCTAAGATTAGGCTTAAGCACTCAGGAACTTCTGTATGGAGTTCCTCACCCCCCCCCCTCACCCTAGACTCGCTCACCTGTACGTATTCCTGCATTCGTATTTGCACACCTATTCTATGTAAAGCGGGACTTCAAAATTTACCGTTTTTTCTTGTGTCTCATGTTCTGATGCAATATTGAAACAGGTTTTGGTCTTGTCCAAACTTCAGAAACCCGTTTATTGTAAGTCTAGCCATTTATTAATTATTGGCCAGTGTTTGAGTTACGTAGATGTAATAAATAGTACAGCGGTTAGAAAGGATCCGGTTGGAGAGTAATATTGAAGTATACTGACTGTATTTATTGCGTGTGCGGTGTGTAGCGCGAACTGCTTTTGCTCATGCAAAAACTAATTCAAGGGACCTCAACCTTGGACTGGCACGCATGTGCATGCTGATATGAACCCAGTATTAAACCCTGACAGTGCGTCACAGCTAACTACCTAGGATATCGCTTGCTTAAAACCATGACTGTCTTGTAACTTTTTGCATTTTACAAGTACGACTGACTGAAGTACAGTGGCCTTGTGGAAGTGCATGGGAAATTGCAATACAGTACAATCTGCAAAAAGTAGAATGCTGACATGTGATCTCTTCAGCTATTTTATGACGCAATCATTGAGTGTAAAAGTTTACATGTGGAGTTCCGCAAGGATTTAGATATTCTTATCGCCAAACTGTTTACAAAGCACCAGACTACTCTTGGTATGCCTGACCGTTGGTTTATTTATCGTGGTTATCATCAGCATAAGTCTAAAACACTTGTAACCATTTCAACATCGGTTTACTTTACACATCTTTATCATTTCATAGAACAATGAACACCGACATAAACTTTACACATGCTGCATGTGTTTACTTGCAGAATAGTGGGTTCTTGTTCGTATACTATATGTCGTATGTACATGTGCTGATGTAGATTTATTCTGTCTGGACACCAGTAGATAACTAGTCTCCCCTGAAGCCACAAATACCATTGACAATGACATCATTTGCATTGCCTACACTCGTGTCTGTGGTGCGAAATGATGTGACATGAGGGGTGATGTGACATGAGGGGTGATGTGACATGAGGGGTGATGTGACATGAGGGGTGATGTGACATGAGGGGTGATGTGACATGAGGGGTGATGTGACATG